CTTAGTTTTCAGTATGTTCCCCTTTTGCTATAATGACAGGTTGCACTGGAGCTGGCATGGACTCCACAAGTTTGAGCAAAACCTGATAATACATGTTATCCCTTGGCTTTTAAGTGCCCCAATAAATGTTTTATGGGGTCTGACCTTTTCTACAAAGAGACTGACAGGGTCAGTGTCACACATTTGCTTAACTTTGACCCAGACATTGTGCAGAATTTTCAATATTTCATCTTCATTTCTTATGTCATAACTTTATTTTGTTTTAAATGTTTTGATATCCTAAAACTTTCTGATTATTTCAAAGTTTCATGAAAAAGGTTTGGTAAAAATGTTTAAAATGGTCTCAGACTTTTAGACCCCATTGTACTTTGTACATGTAACGTTGCGTTGGTATTGAAAAAGCTATGTTTCTCTTCATTTGTATCTCAACATTGAGGCCATTACCACAAAACTAGACTGTTTTTCATAGTAGGGGTAAAAATTTTCCTGCTGTATATGATGGAAATTATGTAGCCAAGTCAGGCTGTGTGTGTGTGTGTGTGTGTGTGTGTGTGTGTGTGTGTGTGTGTTTGCCAAGCATGAATTTTAATGAGACCGTTTCTTACCATTTGGAAAGGGACACAGCATTAAAAGTGATACTAGCAGCATGGTTTTCTGCAGAAGACGGGGGAAGAAAACATAAAACACAGCTCAATTAAATGAGACATAAAACTGTAAACTGATGATACACATAAGTTTTAGAATTATGTCGTACCAATATTCCAGTTTTATAAAGTAATGTTTTATTTTCAAAGCTACGTTACAGACGCTGAAACGTTTTGATTTGCTTTATTTTTGAGAAAGTCGGGGGAATGCGACTGCACAGCAAATCGCTTAATTATTAGTAGCATAGTGATGTGTTACTCTGCAATAAACTAAGAGTTATTTGTTATCGTTATTTTAATGAACAGGAATATGATAATCTGTTTTAAATGTAAGATCATTTATCACATTGATGGAGAAAATAAATGATGATGGTGGCGATCATTATTGTTTTATGTCTTTCTGTTTAAATACGTAATTTAACTTTTGCTAATTTAGTTTTTCAGCTCAACATTCTTGGGAATCTGCGTTCATTGCTTTCATCCAGGCTGTTAACGTGCGCCTTCCCGTCTTTCACGTTGCCCACAGGGGCAGGAAAGAATGAGCGCGCCCACTGTCCTCCCGCTCACGCGCAGAGGGCACTTCTGATTCCGCAAGGCGCGTGGGAGACCAAAGCCATACTCCAGACTGAATCAATTTTACCGTCGCCATTTATTTATCTCTTCAAGTAACGTTAAAAAAGAAGGGCGTGTGATGTTCTCACCCTAAGGAGTGGCTGATGGTAAATCCGACCTATCAAATGGACCCTTGCAAACTAACTATCTTTGTCAAATAGCTGGCATTTTTACGTTCCAAATGCCTTACTTAAGATGTCCCATACTGTCATTCTGCTGTAACTGGTGTTGGCACCAACTGGTAATTTCAAGCCTGCCATTGTGAAGGCAATGTAATCATTGTGCCAATATAAGTAAGGCAACCAAACCAAAAAATCACGTAAAATGGAGAAAAATTTCAAAGTAAAAAATAGATAAGGATTTACCATTCAAAACGCTTTACTAGAAGCATCTAATTAATTATGTGCACTATTTATCTTGACATTTTAACAGAGGGTACAAGGTCATCCTCATTATAAATTAACCTTTGATGGAAACATCAGTCTACATTTTGACTCATTTGCATTTTGCATATTTGATAGATCAAATCAAACTTACCTTTGAGGAATGCAAATCCACGTGTCCACCATAACTCATAAGTCCTAATACGCTTTGTCATCCGAAGGCTTTATAACACAGGGTTTGAACCCATGTGACAGCACGAGACATGTCATCAAAGACCTCCAGCAGCAGGGTCAACAAAGAGGCAATAGATGTCAGAAGGTATCAATATTTAAAAGCCTCTTCGGATGCCCCTGCTGTAGAAGTAAGGCTTTAAGGGTTGCTAACAGGCCCTGGTATTCAAGGGCGGATAAGAGAGAGGCCGAGGTTCATGCACTGCTGACCGCAGTAACTATCAGTTCTCAGAGGAACAACTGTTTCCTCACACTGTTGCCTGGACAAGAGACGAGCGCTCCCCTCCTCTGTAACCGATACCATTTCAAGCAACAAAGCAGGGCACGGAACCGTAGACCCTCAGGTTGGGATCTGTGGTTTAACCTTGTCCTGTCCTCATATCCTGAAGCGGTTTCCCCCCAAGACAATGTACCCTCAATGAAGCAAGGCCGCTGTTTCACTCCCAATATACAGAACAAGGGGGGGTGCGTCCAAAGAATTCTGCTTTGTCTGCAGCAGGTGCACAGCGTGACCTATTCTCGAAGCTCGTCATGGCAACCAGTGCTTTCCGAGGGTCTGTTGATGGCATGGTGTTCACCGAATGGCATATGACACATATGGCATAACACAATCAATGATTTGATCTGTCTTTTTAAAAATATCCTTTACTCTGCGATGATTGTGGACTGTTGAATGGTCTTACAAAGTATTGTCCTTTGGATTCATTTGTAAAATGTAAAAGGGAAACACTGACACCGTAAAATATATAAAGCATGATTTGTGTTTGTAAAGCTGGGATTTGATGAATAAAAAAATCATCTTTACTGAACAAAGATCACCACAAATATTTGCGTTAACTCTGGGTTCATGGCACATATATACAAAATATCAGGCAGAGAATATATACAAAATTGTTTAAATATTTTATACATCGTACATTGCCATACAATCTATATTGTCTATATTTTGTTTCATGTCAGCCTGGGATATACTTTGAAGAAAGTAATAAAATACTAACATATATCTGTACTTATATTCTGTATGTAATTATGTTCTTTGACTGAAAAGTATCAACACCAGAGAAAGTGTTTTTTTATCCATAGAAAAACAGAGACAAGTAAATGAAACATCCAGCACAGCCCAAATTCCAGTGGGTGGGGAGGATGGGAAAGTGAAGGGTCTGAGGAAAGCCAGGATTACTTGTTTTTTAGGTGAAAAAACATTTTGTGGAGCGAGGTTTCTGCATCACTGCCAAAGCTATAAACCAGCAGGGTACATACTGTTTTTTCTGTTCTCTTCAATGCCTCTAAATTTAAACCATTAAGTCCCCAGTACCAAGTAAGTGTCGCATGAATCTTTCATGGGTCAATTCCCTGGTATATATATAAATATATATATATATATATATATTTATATATATATATATATAGGAAATTTGTTTATTGTAATAATTTTTTTTTTTGCTATTTAATTATTGTGTTCCTAAAGATATATTCCCAGTCCTAAGGCATGTGTCCACCAACACCCAACACACTTCGTTTTTGTATGCAACCCAATGCTGAGAGAGAAAGCGCCATTTGCAATGAGAAGATGGATGAGAACGGAATTCTTATGAAGGCAAACGGTGAACACAGACATCTGCCGAACCATGGGAGCGTTTCAGAAACTCTGGAACATTGGTCTGAGGCATGAATCATGGTTTGGTGCACATCCGGGCCAGGCACTTCTGTTTCAGGTCTGGATGGAGGAACAGAACAGAAAAAATATAACATGGCATTAAGACTTAGATTTTTTTTTTTGTTTGTTTTGCAACAAAATTCATCATGTAGTTTATATCGATTAAAGCAGAAACTCACTCTGAGTACAAGGCTCAGTAATGAAAAGAAAATTGTAAGATAGGCACACGTTTTCAACTTCAAAAGTTAAGATATTCTGAAAATGTGAATGGAGAGATTATAATAGTCGAGTTCAGTGTTTTTATTTAATGTATCCTGTAAAACCTCCTTTCTGAAACTCAAATTTGAGTTTGAATCCCTCAGTCTATTTTGAGCCATTTTCTGTTCCTCCCCCTCCTATTTTCCCCTGGGTTCAACTGCTATTCCATCAGCCTTATGAAGTGACTTCTCAGCATCAATATAATAGGACGGGTGCACACATGAATCTTATGATTGAAATCAATCAGCCATTCCTTTTTCAAAACTGTAGATGCAACACCAATAGCATGTTTTCTGTGCCATTTGAGGAACACAAAGTCAACATGTACTCAGGTTAAATGCAGGCTAGTGGAGAGAACTAGAGAGTGAGGAACCTGGAGATGTTAACTTGCAAATCCTTGCCTTGCCAGTGTGGTTGTCTTGAAATAAATGGTATTGATACGGCCGGGACTCTAAACACCCAGCCATGAGACACATAGCAATTTCCACCCAATCTTATTTCAGCTCTGCTCTCCATTAAAAGAGAGGTCCACTAACAGGTGATTAACACAGCAGCCAAGAGGGAGAAAAGGACAGTTATCAATAATGAAGGGAAGAACATTCAACACAGTCATAAGAAGTGAAGAGAGAAATTAATTAACATGAAGGAAGTGAGTAAAGGCTTGCAATACTAGACAGTATTAGCTGAGGCCATTTCAAGCAATACAGCAGCCTTATTACGACTCTCAGTTTGCTCTGATTTCTATTGAAATTCAGTGCATGCATTCTGCAATTATATGTCACCTTGACACCTTTTGTGCGATGTGTCAGGTGCTCACAAGACAGAGTAATGGCTGCTGTGAGAAGATATGATTGAGGTTGTATTGGGATGCTCATTTTTTATGAGTCCTCCTCCATTTCAGGAATTTAAAACTATTAATAACTGCTCACACCAAATGGCATATGTGCAGTAATGTATAATTATTACAGTCATTCATCTGATGCTTTTTATCCAAGGCAACTTACAGTTGATTGGGCTAGCCAAGGGCTGATCCCCCCTGGGAGCAATGTGGGGTTGGGGCTCTTTCTCAAGGGCCCAACAGCAATGGTGTTCTTGCTGTGGCTAGAACCACCAAACTCAAGGGTCACAATCATGTACCTTAGCCATTAGACTACAGGCCAGCTCCATAAGTCACAACATTGGTAAACAGCTGAACAAATATATCTTTAAAGAAGGTACTCCAGGTGAGGCTTGAACTCACAACCTCGGCATTGCTCTGCAGTGCACTGTCATACAAGTACCACGCTATACGATTGCGCCACTGGAGCTGCAACAATGTCATGCATGTAACAATATATGTGACATTTAGAAACAGCCTTTGTACCATAGAGGTTAGAGTTTTGTGCCTGTGCATGCTGCGTTCAGGCCTTTATCAGTTCATTGGGCAACACAAAAGACCAGTCAGTGTCAAGGTAAAACTCCGAAATCGTTCTACCATCTAGAAGTGGTAAAACCCAAACCGAAAATTTGGATAGTATTTGGGTTAATGATAAGAGAATAAGCTATTGTGAAACCAAGAACAGGCAGAGCTATAACAAGCTGTTAGTGTTGAAGACATTTGAACCATTCGTTGTGATTCGTTCACAATCTGCTCAGAATTTACAGATTTCAAGATCATAGGGTTCTATGTGATTATTTTAATTCATTATTGAATTAGGAAAATTCTTTTCCACAGTAAACTCCACTTACATACACCTGGCAATACAGCTAAAATAATGTTCAATAAAATGTGTTACATAAAGTTCAAAGCTAGTTTAAGATGGCACTTGAAAATTCTAACATGTGACATCTCAAAACTGTGCTATTGCCAGAAAATACTGTATGACTCTAATATCTTAATCTTTGTCTGGTTCAATTTCAGTCTACTCCTCTCTGGATTTCAAGAGCTGTACTATGTGCACTAGGATTTAGGATAGAGATAAAAGGCTAAGAAGTAGTTCTTTGTGCGTCATGGAAATGCTGATGAGACTTGAGGACACAGAGCTTAAGTTAAAAAGGCAGGAGAGGGAGGAGGACAGACCAGTTCATTCAAGCACAGGACACGTCCATTTCTGCTCATGGAGTACCGGCTCTCACGACAGCCAATTAGGCCTGTTCAACGACACCCGGTCAAAAGGTGTTACATAGGTAAGCTGCCCTTTCGCCCAATCAACAAAAAATGTGCCTCCTTAACAGCATCCGTAATGAAAACATCTGAGCTGAAGAGCTAGTCTCCGAAATCTGCAGATGGTTTTAATGAGATCTGCCTCGGATCAATGACTTTAGCGTCTGATAGCGAAAATAGAGGAGGGAAAGGTCACGTAACCCTTAGCTAATTGTTATGCTTTGATGTGAGACATTAAGTGTGACTGGTTAGATTACATGAGTTATTTACTCAGTATGTTATGGCAGTGGTTCCCAAAACGAGAGCCGTGGTACCCAGGAGTGCAGTGACCAGTCCGGTCCTGTACAGTTTCTGTTCATTTCCATTTTAATTCTGCTGTGGCCATTTACTAACTTTTCACCTCATGAAAACATTTTATACATCAAAGTTATAAAATACAATAATAAACAATAATAAATGGCTATACATCTTTCTATTCATCTCAGGATACTTGGTGGCTAAGCTCACCGAGAAAGCTAATGAGTGTAGGAGTTGCTCTCTCTTCCATCTCTCCCGATATTAGGAATCCGCTCTCAAAAGCAAGCAGCACATGTATCCTACTAAAGTGGGTAAATTAAAATGTTACTTTTTGAGCAAAGGTAAATAAAGTGAGCATTTGCTTTGTTCAAAGATTCACAAAGAAAATGCTCAAATTTGCCACTTTCTTTGTGGGCTTGGGCTGGAAAAAAATACTATGAAGGGATGTCATGGTTTTAAAAGGTTTGAGAACTACTGCCTTTTTTGCTGATATCCGTAACTATAAAATAACTAAAAAATACTTTCAAATGATGTGCGTTTCCAAGTCTATAAAGAAGTGAAGCATGGATATTGGTGCCAAGAGCATTAATGTTTTCACAGATTAATCCAACAGCAGTCAAACTGTTTCTGACAACGTGCACTGTTCGTCTCTTTCTTTGTCTTGTTCCCTGAGGGGAAGAGCTGTAACAATTTAGTTAAACTTCATTCATCATTGCTTTTTTGTTTAACTCCAAACAGGTAAAGACACAGCAAATAACTTTACACTACAACTGCCACGGGCTTTGATGAAATGAATTGATCATCACTTACTTTTGGAGTAGGCGATTCTTTTAACCCTCCTGCATATTTCCGAGGTGTACTTCACATACCAGGAATGGGTATCTAAACAGTACCTGTAGCAAACAAAAAGCAGAACCAGTTCCATACAGCTATTTCTATTTTAATACACATTAAGTTTAATCATCTCATGGCTTAGAATATTGGGAAAGCATACACTGTTATGAATTGCAAAGAAAGCGCCCCCAATATGGATTTAGGTAGTTACATATTAAGTACATGAGATTGTTCGTTTCATGTTTCCATGTGGTGTCAAGTGCATTCTATCCTGAACTTTGTCTAAGCTGGCAGTTCAAAGCGAAATGCAAAGTTCCCTGCTATAGCTCTGGCCTGAGAGAAAACATTTCCGTTCCAACATACAGTCTTGTGGGTTATGGCGTTTTAAAGGACACGGAAGTGCTGTGGTGGTTGGTGCGCATGAAGGCTAGTGAGCGTGCGGGCGCTTCAGCGTCATTCCTGCCTCTTTGTCTTGGCCTTGATGTAGGGGCGGCAGAGGCACTGTGAGAAGAACTTGCAGAGCTCCAGCACGCAGGGCTGCAGTTTGTGAGCGCTGACTGTGGTAGTGGTGCTGGTGCTGGTTATGGCAGTAGTGGTTGGCAGGAATGCTGCAAGCTCCTCATTCTCCCCTCTAGGGTATATTTGCTCTGGCCTCTTCCATGGACAACCTTGTCAAAAGAGGAAACAAGCTCAATAGAAATCATTTAAGTCAATATTGAGAAAAAAACTTCAAGACCTTATCTGAATAGAATAGAACAGAATAGAATAGAGTAGAATAGAATAGAGTAGATACTCCTTTTGCTTGCATGGAATGCCGTTTGTCCCCTGGAATCATTTTTCCATTGCTCTACTGCACTATAACACTGTAAAATACAAGACCCTCACTTGAGAAAATGCTATATGAAACAATTTAAAAAACTGCCATCCTTGCATTGATATAATCTCTTTTAAAGAATTACACTGGTATTATTGAATTCAGGTGTGGATTATGCAAGTCTTGAGGTTCAGGATCATTTAGTCTGAGGTATGTGTAGAACACCTGTCAACATAGCACTAAATGCTATCAGTTTGGAGAGTAAATGGCAGAATAATGTGGAAAGAAGGGAGACTGGAACAATGCAGAGCAGCAACAGAATAACATATTCTGGCATCTGAATCCTAGCAACAGAATGGCTACAATTATCTAACTAAAAAGTATGACATAAAAAAATCCTGTGGCTCTTTGGATAATTAATTGATCACTTCTACTGCATTAACAGAAGGCTGCCAGCTACGTGCTGTCAGAGATCTATAATTAGAAAAGTTTTTTCTCTCATACACCGCATCTCCTGTAGAGACTGTTCACTTTCATAGCCTTCACAAGATGCCAGACTCATGGCAATATGCCCACCATCTAGGAAAAAAACTGTTGCGCATAGGTAAAAAATAACCTTTTGAGATTTTCAGGGGTATCAAATGCATGTTCTCCAAAACAAGTGCGCTGATTAGAATGTAGGTTTTTTAATGGGTGAATTTTACTTAAAATCTGAGATGTTTATAGTTCTTGTTTGAGAAACAATGAGATGCTGCTGCCACCTAGTGGTGATGTTATATATTGTAGCTGCAGGGTATTTGTGACCACCGGACAGAAGCAGGTTGGTCTCTGCAACCTGCATTTCCACATGAAAAACTCCCCACTTGTGCTTAAGCACTGCCTTATTTACAAATAAGTTAGCGTTATTGAGTGTTTTGGGAATTATTTGTGTTTCATTTTTATTTGGACACAAAAGATCTCATCAATAATGTATCCATTTTAGCTTTTTATAAAAAAACCTATAATGTATAAAATGACCTTGAGCATTGGGCTACAATGAAAAAACCTTCACCAAAAACGGAAAAGGTGTAAGTAACTCCTGATTGACATTAGTTACTTTTGGGGCAATTATGAGCCAGCTATACGCACGGCCAGGTCAGGAGATAATGTGACAGTTCATCTTTTGAGACTGATTTCTTGAGAATATTCATATTTATTTATAAAATACATGTTTCAGCAGTTTTAATGCTGTATCCAGAGCTGTATCTGGTTTCCTTGAGGTTGTTGTTTTTACCAGTAAAATCCATGTCTATGCTATAAATAGTCTTCAAACAAAACACAGCTCAGATTTAGATATGCACTCTAGATATAGATTCTGGTTAGACCAATACAATATGCTCTCAAGTATGTGAGAACCACTTATTAAAATGATTCAATGATGGTGAAGAGATTATTCCACTGATTGACCACATAAGACTTACTACAAGTTCCTTTTATTGAAACAAATATGAATGCAACCAGATATCTGCAGTCAAATTACGGAAACATCAAGATCCAGTAAAGTTAGGCTGAGAGTAAAAGTGATAGGAATGTGTGTCTACAGAAATGTTTATTCCCAAGCCAATTCATATAGATTATGTGAGATTTTTGTCTGCGTCTGAGTTGTTGATTTGATAGCAAAACCATTTGCCTGATTTCAGTGTAAATGGAAAAACTGAAATCGTTTTTCAGGCTTGCAGTTGCTTATCGACCACGCTTTCTGTCACAGGGAATTCACATCTTTCTCAGTGTTTTTCAGTCCATAACAGATGCTGTTTTGGTCATATACAGCTGCACACAGACATTTTATGTGCAGTGTGGAATGCAAGTTGCAGAGGTTATCTTACCTCTTTTATAACTTCATGGTTTTCCTTTATCATATCTTTGTCATTTGTTTGTGGTTTGCTGTGGTAAAATCTATTATTTGCAGGCAATGCATATAATTTATTGTGATATCATCACTCCAGTATTGCTCTGAAATAGAATAAGTTTGATTTGACTGTTAGATTACAGTCCCACCTCTTTCAGCAGACTGAAAAAATAATCTCTCCCAAACTTCGAAATTGAGTGTGTCCCTTAAATGAGTGGGAGGGGTTAAATGTTGCTTCATTCGGGCTGCGAAGAGACCCCTCACCCGTCAAAACCTCACGCTCACTCTTGTGTACACGAATATGACTGCCCTGAATGACAGCATGCCTTTT